GGGTCTCGCTGTGTTGCCCAGGCTAGAGCGCAGCGATACCATCATATAGCTCATTGCAGCCTCAACCTCCTGGGCTCAAGAGTTCCTCCCACCTCAGCCTCCAGAGTGGTGAGAACTACAGGCACGCACAACCACACCTGACCAATTTTTTCATCTTAATTTTTTGTAGAGGTGGGATCTCTCTATGTTGCCCAGGCTGGTCTTGATCTCCTGGGCTCAAGTGATCTGCCTGCCCCAGCCTCCCAAAGTGCTGGGATTACAGGTGTGAGTCCCCACACCTGGTCAATATTTCTTTTTTTTTTTTTTCTGAGACAGAGTCTCACTTCGTCGCCCAGGCTAGAGTGCAGTGGCGTGATCTTGGCCCACTGCAACCTCCACCTCCTGGATTCAAGCAATTCTTCTGCCTCTGACCCAAGTAGCTGGGATTATAGGCACCCGCCACCACGCCCAGCTAATTTTTGTATTTTTAGTACAGACAGAGTTTCACCATATTGGCCAGGCTGGTCTTGAACTCCTGACCTCGTGATCTGCCCACCTTGGCCTCCTAAAGTGCTGGGATTACAGGCGTGAGCCACTGCGTCTGGCCATATCTAATTATTAATGAAGTTGGGTATTATTTTTGTGCTTGTTAGCCATTTGTATTTCTTCTGTGAGTTTTTTGTTCATATCCTCTGCCTGTGTTTCTATTAGGTTATAGGTTTTTAGGCTTATGGTAGCACTTTGTAATACATTGATATCAATGCTTTGTCTTTTTGTTTTGTATTTATTACGTTTTTCAAGCCACCATTTGTACTTTAATTAAATTTATAACTCTTCTGTCTCCATAGACATTTTAAATTTCTAAATAGTCCAACTTGCCCTTTTATTCCTTTATGACTTCTGAATTTAAAAGCACTTACCCTCCTCCCCAAAATAAAGCTAAAAATACTTTTCTGTCTCCCATCCCAAGATTATAAAAAATATGCTCTTAAGTTTACTTTCAGTATTTTCACAGCATAGGTTTTAAATATGCATCTTTAACCAGTTTGGAATTTGTGTTGCTGTATGGTGCGAGCCAGAATACAACCATAAGTGAGCCCAGTTGACCCAGTTCATTGACTTCATATGCTCCTGGTCATGTCCTAAATCCCACTCATTGGATGGTATCAACCCAATACTCTTCTAATTATTACACTTTTATAGCATGTTTTATTTGGTAAAGCAAGTCTTAATATCACTCTTCCTTCTTTAAAATATTTTCTTGACTCTTCTCTATGTTTATACTTCAGGATAAATGTTAGACTCCATTATCAAATTCCAAAAAGAACCTTTAGGATTTGTTTGGAAATGTATTATACACACAAATACACACATAAATAAAGCCTCAAATAAGGCATAATAAAATATATAGCAGTGGTTATCTCTAGATGATGGTAATATTCTGGGTGATTTTTTTCTTGTTTTTTTTCTTTTTTTATTTTATTTTATTTTATTTTAGAGATAGAGTCTCGCTCTGTCGCCCAGACTGGAATACAGTGGCGTGATCTTGGCTCACTGCAACCTCTGCTTCCTGGGTTCAAGCAATTCTCCTGCCTCAGCCTCCCGAGTAGCTGGGACTACAGGTGCCCGCCACCACGCCCGGCTAATTTTCGTATTTTTAGTAGAGACGGGGTTTCACCATGTTGGCCAGGCTGGTCTCGAACTCCTGACCTCAAGTGATCCGCCCGCCTCGGCCTCCCAAAGTGCTGGGATTACAGGCGTAAGCCACCGCGCCTGGCCGGAATAATAAAGACTATTTTATGGGAAATAAATAAGTGACTTGTAGAGAGTGAAGAAGAGATACCTGGCTCAGAATATAAACTAGAATTGTCTGGAATATTCCTGGGAAGGATCAAGCTGGAATCGAGCTACTGAAGCAACACCACCCCACAACCTCTTCTGTAGCTTGGTTGATGTCAGTTCTGCTGAGACTTTAAAGTTTGTGGCCTTTTCACTTCGCAGCATTTCTGGGGCGTTTTCTCTGCAGCTGTATTTACAAGGTACCCAGCCTCCCAGCTCTCCCTGTTCTTCCTACTCCTGTGGCACAGCCAGAGCTTGAGATACATCGAGGCAGTGTCGTCTAAATCTGGCCCCTCAGTGTCCTGGTCTGTTAGTCACCGTTTAGCAGAAAGAAGGTTGCTAGGTCTATTCTTAACTCTGATGTATTTAAGAAGCACTGTGCTAATCCTTGACTCAGAGCATCTGGATTCTTTTTTTTTCTTTTCTTTTTTTCTTGCCCTGTCTTATGGTGCCAAGCATCTAGATTTTTTTTTTTTTTTTTTTTCTTGTTTTAAGATGGAATCTCAGCTGGGTGTGGTGGCTCACACCTGTAATCTCAACATTTTGGGAGGCCAAGGCAGGAGGGTCACTTGAGGCCAGGGGTTCAAGACCAGCCTGGGCAACATAGTTAGACCCCACCTCTAAAAAAAAAAAAAGAAAAGAAAAGAAATACAAAAATTAGCCAGGCGTGGTGGTACACATCTGTAATGCCAGCTACTTAAGAGGCTGCAGCAGGAGGATCACAGGAGCTCAGGAGGTCGAGGTCACAGCGAGCCTGATCAAACCATTGCACTCCACCCTGGACAACCGAGGGAGACCCTGTCTCAAATTAATAGAGAGAGAGAGAGAGAGAAGAAGGGACAGAGGGAAGGAGGGAGGAAGGAAGGAAAGAAGGAAAGAAAAAGAAAGAAAAGAAAGGAAAGAGAGAAAGAGGCTCATGCCTGTAATCCCAGCACTTTGGGAGGCCGAGGCGGGCAGATCACGAGGTCAGGAGATCGAGACCATCCTGGCTAACACAGTGAAACCCCATCTCTACTAAAAATATAAAAAATTAGCCAGGCATGGTGGCAGGTGCCTGTAGTCCCAGATACTCAGGAGGCTGAGACAGGAGAATGGCGTGAACTCAGGAGGTGGAGGTTGCAGTGAGCTAAGATTGCGCCACCGCACTCCAGCCTAGGCGACAGAGTGAGACTCCCTCTCAAAAGAGAAAACAAAGAGAGAAAGAAAAGAAAGAGAGATGGGGTCTCACTATGTTGCCCAGGCTGGACTCAAACTCCTGGGCTCAAACGATTCCCGCACCCTCAGCCTCCCAAGTAGCTGGGATTACAGGCATGCACCGCTGTATCTAGCTCCCTTTTTCCTTTTTATTCTATATGCTCTTGCTGGGTGATCTTATCCATTTAATAACAGAACACCTAATATTTGTCAGGCATTTTCTATTTGTTAGGCATTACACTGCACTTTATATGACTGTCTCATTAAATCCTTAAAACAGCCATATAAGGTAGGGCACCAGAGCTTACTTCTGTAATCTCAGCACTTTGGGAGGCTGAGGCAGAGGCAGGAGGGTTACTTGAGCCCAGGCATTCAAGACAAGCGTAGGCAACATAGACTCCCATCTCTCCAAAAAATTAAACTTGAAGACGTTGGCCTGACATGGTTATTATTGCCTCATTTTACAGATGAGGAAACTGAGACTCGGAGAAGTCAAGATCAGGTAACTCATTGGCAGAACTGGCCTTGAAACCCAGGCAGCCTAACTCCAGAGCCTGTGTTCTTAACTACACTTTACACGCCATTTTTAATTTTCCTCCTTTCTTCCCTAAAACCTGCTCTGCCTCCTACATTTTCAGTCTTGTTTGTCCAATATCCCCAGCTAGAACTGTCAGAAATGATTCTCCAGTTCCCCCTCAGTTAACACCTCCTCCTTTTAGTCCTGTCTTTGAAGATGCTCAGACCTGTGTGTTCCTCTCCACGTCCCCGACCCTCCCTTGCGTCAGCCCCGCCTAACCCCAGCCTGGGCTGGGCGCAGGAGCGGCCCTTGGTGGGCTCTTCCTTCTGCTCAATCTAAGAAAGTGAAGATGCTCATGTCACTGTACCATTTAAAAGTTCATGGACTTCCTTTTTTGTGGTTTTGGTTTTGGTCTGGTTTTTAAGCAGATCACACTGGAACTCCCTCACTCCACATGCTCAGTCCAGCCCTCGCCTGTGTTTTCAGCTCCGTTTCCTGTCATTCTCCACCCACTCCCTGTGCCTTACATTCCTGCCATCCTGAGGCTTCCCTTTTCGCAAGATCTGGGCCAGGCCTGTCCTAGCTCCACGCATCAGCCTTTGTTCTTTTGCTCTAAGCCTCCTCTGTCTTTGATCTCCCAGACAGACTCTAGTCAGCTCTCAAGATCCAGACCCCATGCCTCTTTCGTAGCGTTTCCTCAGATTCCTCCGGGGTGAGGCAGTCACTCTTCGGGCTGCCACAGCACATGCTCAGGCCTCAGCTGTGGCCTCACTCTGCTGGGTGGTCGTTTATCTGTTTACGTGCTTGTCTCCATTAACCTAAATGGGTCTTTAGGACAAGGACCAAATCCCTTCAGCTTTCAGCACCGAGCACAGAGTAGCGCTCAATAAATGTTGGTTAAAACGCTTGAAGGAATGGGAAAGAGGTTGTTAAAAACAACAGGAAGTTAGAAATATACTTACTTCTAAGCAGAGGGATTATCTTGTGTTTCTCAGAGTAATCTCTTCAGCTAAATCAGCAGGCCTCAGGTTGGGCAGGCTAATGTACCGAATGAAAGTGACACACGGCAAATGGAGAAGTCCTTTAAATTATAAGTTCCCTTAGGGCAAAGGTCACTCCACAAGGTTGAGATCCTATCTGAGATCGCCATGCCCCTCTCTCCCACTCTCACGCAGGTTCGTGAGCCTGTGGCTTGGTGGAGAGAACATTCTGTTTAGAGTGAGAGGCCAGGGCTGAAGCCACAGCTCTGCAAAAATAATCAGCTTTGGGCCTAGAACCAGTGACTTTTTGGGCCTCACTTTCATGAAGACACATTTGATACTTACTTTTACACTTTTCTGATGGTTAATTTTGAGGCAGAGAGACTTCACATAGAAAGTGCCTTTTTTGTCATGTATTGATGAAAAATAATTCTTAGCTCAGTGCACATGAGATTGTTGTGTCTGAAATCCGTCTCTCCTTTCCCTTTCAGCTTCAGGATGAGTTAGAGAAAGGTGAACGGGACAATGCAGAACTGCAGGAGTTTGCCAACGCCATTCTTCAGCAAATAGCAGACCACTGTCCCGACATCCTAGAGCAAGTGGTCAACGCCCTGGAAGAGTCCTCTTGACCCTGCTTTGTGGGGAAGCCTGAGGTAGTCAACCCAGGAGCCAAGAAAGGAGAACTACAAGGAACAGGCGCCCGGAACCTTCTTGGCACCCAACACTACAAACTTCCTCCCATCTTGCTCACCTGAAGAAGCGTGATTCCAGCACCGTTTCTACATCTGCCGTCTTTCTCTGCCTTCTTGCTTTGGATGTGGTCTCTACACTAACCTTCTTGATGTCCAGGGTAGATAAAAGGTCGAATCTCTCTGAAGAACTGCAACCTGGTCGTCAACAGTGACTGTGGAAGCTGGTGGCTCAGCCCTGACAGAGGGCCGTGGAGCAGAGGAGCCTCTCATCTCCTGTCCTCTGACATGAGAATGAAACCAGGAATGTACTTGGAGTTCAGCGGGCTGAGAGGATGCCTCCAGTGGACCAGAGAGCTGAGTGTTCTAATGTCACAATAGGTGCTTTCTCCTAAAAGGGTAAAAAACAATCTCAAAAAGATGAGAAAAAGAAAAGGGGGAAGGGAAGAGAAAATCGACTCTTCTTTTCACTGTCTCTTCTGCTTACTTTCCACATGAGATGCTTTATACCGGGGAGCTGTGAGCAGGCCTCACGATGGCTTGGGAGCACTCGTCCCCCAGGGTGTGAGTCTTCACCCAGCCCTGACTGTCTGTCCCAGCCTTCCTTACTCTGGTCCTCGGCCAGTTTACAAGAAGATGGTGTGAGGTGTTCTCCACCAGTCTCTCCTGTTTGAGACTGTTGACCATATCATACAATTAGATCAAATGTCTCTAACTGAAGGAGAACATATGAGGTTGAAAGAGCACCATCCAGGGCAACATAGCGAGACCCTGTCTCTACAAAAAATTAAGAGAACATACAAAGTTGACATACGAGGCCCTTTTGTCCCCACTGCAGCTTTGCCCCAGTAGCAGATGCCCGTGCCTCGGGGTTGGGCTGCTTTCCCCTGAACACCTCCAGGAGGCTGCCTGCCTTCCCAGCACCCGTGTCCCGAGCTCCTGCAGCCCAGTGGCTGCTGAGGTTTTGATCCCTCACTCACCCTGCTAGCTTTGCCCTAGACTCATCCTCTCAGAACCTCAGCCTCATGCATTGCCTGGAACCTTCTTCTGGCATAAATGAAGGTTTCTTGTCCTATACACATTCCTTCCTCGATTATTTCATTCAGAGAATATTTATGAAATGCCTACTGTGTGCAAGTCATCCATCCTTGAAAAGGCCACTTCTCAGTAAGGGAGAGGTGCAGTGGATTCTGTGAGACATACCAGCTGAAGTCGAAGCAGTAAATAGCATGTCCTTCCCCTCCCCGATCTTAAGGTATGTTTTCTAGAAAAGTTCCCTAATGGAATTCGTGAGTTTGGGGGGCTCAGTCACCCACTTGCCTATGGTATTCCATTTGATGATTCTGGATTTTTGCTGTTTGTTGTTGCCCTTAGAGGGCTCTGAGTATCTACTTGTGGGTGGCCATTTGCTGACATCTGCATGTACCTTGTGGAATTCAGCCAGCCTCATGTTGCAAATCAGAGAGCTGACCCCAAGACTGCAAATCCAGTTGGCGGTATTGGCATTGTTAAGGACATTTTCCCAAGCGTAGACAACAGAGTCGTAAATAATTGGGCATGAAGAAGTAAACCACTTAACCCAAATCTAGTTCTTTGACCATCTCTACCACCAGAGCCCAGCAGACACTCACATCTCCTGATAAGAGTTGCTGGACTCACTGTTTTTGTTTTGCGTTTTCTCCTCTCCTTCCCCACTTACTCCGAGAATTTAAAGTCTGTAGAGTCAGCACAGCCCCATCAGTCCAGGAACTTCCCACCACCAGCCCCTGACTGTCCCGTTAACTGATACGGTCAGATCTCCAGCTCCCCTTATTCCCTGCTGTAAAATAGTCCCTCTCCCCGTGAGAGGAAACTGTGGAGTGTTTCTTATCGAAGGTCTAAATGGACTCTGCTCATAAACCTCTTACTGAGATGCTTCCTGATCGCCAGGCTGGCCAGAGAGGCTGCAGGGGTTAGATAGTAAGTGGTGGTCCTTTGTGGTCAGTTCCTCAGTTCTGTTTATTGCAGTGCCCATAAACCATGTAGCAAGCTCCCAGTACTGAGAGCCAGGAGTATTAGAATCTCACTTTATCCACCATAATGTAAAGACCTGGGGTATGATCACAGCCTTCACAGGGCCACAGTGGAACCAAGAAAGCAGGCGAGGCCTACACAAGTGGCCTGGCACTGGCACTGGCCAGCTGCTCTCTCACTGGTCTATCCAGGAAGGCATCAAGCAGGTGCCCCAGATCCACCCACGTGGCCTTTCTCATCAGGTGCAGCACCTGCCACTCTCAGCCACTGGGTGTGTGATGCTCCTCTTCATCTCAATGTTCTCCATCACTTCCCCTCCGGAACAACTGATGGAAGGAGGCCCTCTGTGACAGTGCTTCTGAGAAAAAAAATTTCTGGGACAGATATCATCTGTCTGTCTCTATGAACAGCAAGGAATCTTGACCCTTCTTGGGCACTGTTCTGGCATCTCAGATGATGTGGAGACTGGCTAAGAGTTCGGTAATAAACATGGCCTGCCTTTGTGCTATAGGGCAGAGTGGATGCAGCTTGTAGCATTCAGAGTATCTCATTGAGTCCAAATCATTGAACCAACACTTAACCAAATGTCCCACTCCCATCACACTAGGACTTGTCATTCCATGCCCCTCTCCTAGTAGTCATGGTTTCATATGGCCATGCAACTGCTACTGAAGTTATATAGCCTTGAAAACTCAATGCAGGTTGCCCTTAATTTTTCCCAAGCCCCTCCATCGGCAAATCTAGTTGCCCTTTAGCACCTAAAGATCTGCACCTCACATCAATGTCACCATAAAGAGGGCAAGAGGAAGAGCAGGTGTGATCCCAACGGGGTTTTGTAACTGAAGAAGTACAGTATGAGTGTCTCATGTCTTCATATACCTCTAACCCCCGGTACTCATTGAATCATTGATGAGGTATCTCAGTTGAGATTTGCAAGGACTTTGATGCCATTTGAAATGGAAAAGATTTTGAACAGGCTTTAACATATTTAAGAAATATGGATGGGGCCGGCCACGGTGGCTCATACCTGTAATCCCAGCACTTTGGGAGGCTGAGGCAGGTGGATCACCCGAGATCAGGAGTTCGAGACCAGCCTGGCCAGGATGGCAAAAACCCCGCCTCTACTAAAAATACAAAATTAGCCAGGCGTGGTGGCACACGCCTGTAATCCCAGCTACTCGGGAGGCAGGAGAATCGCTTGAGCCTGGGAGGCAGAGGCTGCGGTGAGCCGAGATCGCATCACTGCACTCCAGTCTGGGTGACAGAGACTCCGTTTAAAATATATATATATATATATATATGGATGGGAATCGCCAAATTCATCTCAGCTCTAACCTTTTAACCTTTGTCCTTGCACTTTATAATCTAAAGAAGATCTACCTGTGGCTCTCGGACTTCCTCATACTTGGGTTGTAGAAATAACTTGTAAAGCAGACTGGACCCAAGGCCGCCTTCAGTGTTGAGAGGGGCGTGTGACTTGCCACTTTCTGTCAATTGAAGTCTGGTTGTCCATGAGGAACTTGCGGACTCACCCACCCCCAGAGTGAGAAGAGGAAGGCGACGTCATCACAGACACGGTCTTAGCCACCTGCTGAACTAATCCCTCCCCTATGAGGGTCAGGGTTGTGAGGAAACCGTCATGTATCACCCAAAATATAAATGTTTCTGAGCTGCCCATCCACTGGCATTTGGATTTGCCGCCAGAGTCCTGTTCCTCCTAGGACCGTACCGCCCTCCTGTTGACCGCGTTACTTGAGTGTCGGCCTGGTGGCTACCCTCAGAGCCTTTGAGGAAAGAGCCAAGCAAGGAAGACCTCGCTGCGTGGAGTGTGACACCACGTGGCATTTCTCAAGCCCAGCGGACCCCGTGTCAGCAAATACCAGTAATTGAACATCTGTACCCAGCCTCATCTTCACCTGCCTGGGTTCGGAACTGAGGAGGAAGGATGAGAAGAGACCGCAGTGCCGCAGACGCCCTCCGCAGAGCAAGGCCGCCCATCCATCACTGCCAGCCCTGGGCTTCTCAGGAGGGGACGTGAACCACTCAAAGGAATGTCTTAAAGAGAATCTGGAGTTTCCCCCATGCGAATTAGGGAATAATTAGGCAAGAAAAGACATACATTACAGGGAAATCCTTCTGAACAAAATGGCTGTCTTTACCTACTCTTTTTAAGCAAAAACTGTCTCCAGACTTTTTAGTGTCAAAACTGTAACCACCTGTCTCCTGATTTTTCCCAATGTGTTTGGCAAGTGCTGTGACCCTGTTGTAGGCACTTCTCCTGACTCGGCGGGGGAAGTGGTTTTAGGGATTGATTCAGGGGAGCGGGTTTTTGTCCCATCCCACCTCCCCTCTTCTTTCTCTGCTTGTCGATATCGTCTGTGTGATTCAGAGAATTGGGGCAGTTACATTGTGTCTGTTGAGATTATTAAAAGATTAAAACGTAGTTGTAGAATGAAAAAGAGCTGTGTTTTAAACATGCAAACCAATATCTTGTTAATAAAGGAATTCAAGCTACAGGGCAGCCACGCTCCCCCCTCCCAAGCTGGCATAGGTGGCCCCGGGCTGGCAGCTTAGGAAGCGTGGAGCACACTTAGGGTAGTGCCCGCCTGGGCGAGAGACACCTGCCGAGCAAAAGGAACGAGAATCTAGGGCTCAGAGCTGCGCAGTTGTGCCAGGATTTTCCTATACACGCTCAGGACCTCTGGGTAAAGGTTTCACAGTTTGTGACCCCATAACCACCCTCACCCCACGTGGGTCCTAGCTCAGTGTGCCTAATACTGCATGGTGACCTGGGCTTGACCCTGCAGCCCTGCCCGGCAGGCCACAGGACCTCTCCTGCCCAATGGTGCTATCTCATCCAGTGACCGCCCAGCACGGGTGAGCACTGGCCAGCCTGGAGCTTGCAGTCCAGGTGGAACAGACCGTATTCCATGTCAGTTCCTTCTGGCTTCGGGCCCTCAATTCTTTCCCTTTGAGCTTTTTTAGACCCCAGATCTCCTAGGCCCAGGCTGTCTCTCTTGGCCCCAGAGAAGCCACTGTCAAGAAAGGAAGTGAATCCTACTGAAGCCAGAGAATCCACCCCGGCCAAAGCAAGCCCTCTGGGTCCAGCCCCTCTTTCCACACCATGCCAGTATTGCATCCGTCTACTGCAGCTACACATCCTGAGGGCAGCACCACCCACTCTGGCCTGCTGGCCCATGGCAGGACTAGCCCGGGCACTGCAGGATGTCCAGTGGGGCCTGTGACTTGCTCCCTGTGGCATCAGAAGGAAGTGTTGCACTTTACTGGAGGAGCACCTGCCGCCTTGTAGCTTGAGTTCCTTTTGGTAACAGTAGCAGCCTCCATGGTGGTGTCTGTGATGCAAACGCACCCGCTGCCTTCAACTGTATGTGTGTGTTCCTGCTGGAGTTGTGTTACTGACAGGATAATGACATTACAAAGAAATTGTGTTATATTCAACTTTGCCTTGATAATTATTGTAAACACTTTGTTCATTTTTTCTTTTTTATTCACAAACTAAATCCACCAGGAAATTATAAAGTTATTTAAAAACTGTGTGCTGTGTCCTCCTTTGAGTCTCACCCAGTTGCTCGCCTAAGCAAGATGTGTCCTCACATGCTAGAAAAGATGGACAAGGCCCGCAGTCCCCAAGAGGCCAACTCCAGTGGCAGGCAGCCCGAGGGCCAGGGTCCCAGGATTGACCGTGGGTGTGGGCGTCTCCACACAGCCCTGACGGGCATGGTGCCCGCATCCCCCAGCCTGCTGTTACCTCGGAAGAGTGAGCCTCCTTTCCCTTCCCGCCTGATCTCTGGGTTTGCAGCTCTCAAAGTCAATTCCCAGTTCCCTTTTTCCTTCTTTCCACCCTCAGCCCTGGGCCAGGTTATCCGTGTCAGATCTCACCGTTGCAGAGCTTGGAGTAGGTGCCCAGCACTGAGGGATGGTGTTGCTCTCGTGCCAAGATAGAAGAGCCGTATAAGGGCAGGCCATCGAGGGAGGGCTTTGCCCAGAACTGGGACTCGGGCTTCCGTGGGGCGTGCTCTGATGCACTGACTCTGAGGCGGGCAGGCTGTGTCAACCGCAAGTGTGAGTTCCAAGACTGAAAGGAGCCGAGAAGCCCTGCGCTTGGACACGGCTGTCATTTCCAGCTTTGGTATTTGTCTTGGGCCTTAGGCTCAGTAAGAAATTCTTCTGGGAGATTTCTTTTATGAGAATTACTTTTCTGCTTAGCCACACTTCTGTGTCTACCCGAGAAAGGAATCAAGTCAGCTTCCTGCATTCCTTCCCTCGCCCGTGTAAATTCTGTCACACACTGGGTGTTGGCTCTTGGGAATTGTAGCAAGAGAGTCCAAACTCGTTCTTCCTGGTCAGCCCTCCCAGTGCCCAGGAGTCCCCCTGGCCTCCCTCTCTGCAGCCAGAGCAGCTGTTAGGAAGCTCTGCCAGGGGAGGAGTGCGTGGGAGACAGCGCTGTGGGCAGGGCCGCAGGGCTGAGGTTGCTTGTACTTTCATCATATGAAGCAGGAACCGTTTCACTAGCAGAGCATGTATTATTCTGCACAATATAAAATCACAACCACAGCAGATGTGTCCACAGAAAGCTGTCAGATTACCCTGGTCAGCTGTTTCCAAGGTCTCCCATTCATCTCATTTTTTACTATTTATTCACCCTGCATTCTATCAGCACCCAGTTGCAGGCAAGTGAACACAGACGAAAATCTGTGGAAACTTTTAAGAATTCCATCCATTAATTTTTTTTCCAAATTGAGAAAAGAGCACTAGTACTTTATTTTTGAGGCAGAATATCTCAGGCTGGCTCAAAAATGATCAGGAACTAGTTAGGGACTGGGGGCTCTGGCTGAAACCTTTAATCCCAACACTCTGAGAGGCCAAGGTGGGAAGATCACTGGAGGCGAGGAGTTCAAGACCAGCCTGGACAACATAGTGAGACCTCTCGTTACAAAAATTAAAAATTTAGCAGGGCATGGTGGCATGTGCCTATAGTCCCAGCCGCTCTGGAGGCTGAGGCAAGAGGGTGACTTGAGCCCAGGAGATGGAGGGTGCAGTGAGCGTCAGTGATTACACCACTGCACTCCAGCCTAGAGGTGCAGAGAAACCCTGTCTCAAAATAAAAATAACTAGTTAGGCTCCGGGGCTGGGGGAAGCTGGTGTGAGGTTCGTGAGCTTTCCCAGGCATCCTGGAAAGGGCCCAGACTCGCAGACTGCAGCCCTGGGCTGCCCCTTGACCTCCCAGCCTCCTTCCCCTCTGAAAGAACGCCTCCTTCATCCCTGTCCCCAGCCTAGGTCATAATGAAGGTGCCGTAGGATAATCTTTTTCCTTTTTGAAATTTCCTTTAAGACCACAGAGCATAAATTGCTTACTTCACATCTGCGATTTGCTCGGACATAATCCAGCGTGTCTGTTGGGGAGGAGCGAGGGTGAGGAGCAGGATGTGGAGACAAAAAGATGGGCCAGAGGTAAGTAATCAGGAAGCTGGGGAACTGGGTGCATGGGGTTTGTAAGTCCATTCTCCTTATTCTTGTGTTTGAATTTTTCCTGAATCAGGTAAATATTCACATGCTTCAATTGTACTTGCCCAAACAACGCATACAGGCGTCTTCCCCCACAAGATCCAAGCAATCCGCATTCCCACAGGGCCACCGTAGCGCTCCGTTCAGAATTTGTGTTTCCCTGTGTCCTACACTCCAGGCTACAAATAATAAAAGCTAGTGACATGTGGACCACCTGCCAGCTTCAGTTCTGAGCACTGCACAGGTTTGGTGTCAGTTCACCTTCATAGTAGTCCTACAAGGCGGGTACTGTTACCCCGTTTTACAGGAGAGGCACAAAGTGGACGCACGACCTTCCCAGCATCACACGGCGTGTTCGTGGTGAGACTGGAATTCACACCCGACTCTGTTTCCAGAGTGTGTGTTCTTCAGCCCACTGGTGTGGCCACCTCCCAGGGGAGGACAGCCTGCTGGGGACAGCTAAGCCCAGTGAAGTGCAGTGGGGCACGAGGCAGGCAGTGCTCGTCACACAACTTCAACAGGTGGATTTTGCCAGAAAAGGGGATGAAGGGAGGCCCAAAAGACAGATGAGCAAGAGCAGGGAGGTAGGAAAGTACGAGGAGGGCACTTGGGACAGCAGGTGGACAGAGGACAGAGGAGGGCACTTGGGACAGCAGGTGGACAGAGGACATGCGTTACTGCCTGGCTTCAGAGCGACGAGGCGTGGCCATGGCCACAGGTGCAGCATGAAAGCAGGTCCCCCGTGCCCTAGGAAGGCCAGCTTGGGAGACACGATCTCACAGCCCCGTTGGTCCTGACCCTTCCCCAGCTACCGACAAGGTAAAGCCTCCCCAGGGACTGATATAAAAAAGCGAAGGAAAGAAAACACACGTGGGCACACCCATTCTGGAGTTGCCAGCCTGGGACCTGAGGGTGGCTCCCCAGGCCACGTGCAGAGAAGCTACATGAGGGGACTCTGCTTCCCTAAGGGGAGGAGAACGTTCTTACTGATTCATGGAGAGACACATCAGGCTCTGTCACCCCAGCTGGAGTACAGTGGTGCGGTCATAGCTCACTACAGCCTTGACCTCCTGGGCTCAAGTGATCCTCCTGCCTCAGCCTCCTGAGTAGCTGGGATAACAGGTGTGTGCCACCACAACCAGCTAATTTTTTAACTGTTGTACAGATGAGGTCTCACTATGTCACCCAGACTGGTCTTGAATCCTGAGCTCAGGTGATCCTCCCGCCCCAGCCCCCCTAAGTGCTAGGATATAGGTGTGAACAAAATGCCAGCTGACATGTGACATTGTTTATTACTGCATCCAGGCAGGTGGGCCCTTTTGAAAGGGCATCACTTAATCTTCAGTTACTCAACATGAGGTATGGATTTTGCCTCCCTTCACTCGCTTCTCCGGCAGAGAAACTAGAAATCAAAGATCAGGTTGCCCTGAGTTACACAGCGACTTCACTGGACCTGGGTTCAAAGTGGGTCCATCGCTTCCAAACCTTTCTCTGGACCCAGACTCCCTGATAGCCTCAGAGGGGTTGAGGCATCAGGGCCACACGGTGGCTGGGGGTTTCAGAGGAAAGAGGAAAATAACATGTGTGGCTTGGTCACCATTGGGGTGGATGTGAGTCACATCAGGATTTCAGGTTCCATTTGGCTCTGGGCACTGGTTATTTCCTGGAAATGAGGCTACAAAGCCCTCTGAATGTTCTCTCCTTCAGGCCCTTGATGGGACAGGAATGAGGTTTGCAGGCTCGGTAATGCCACGCCAGCCCACCTTGTCCACAGGGACCATTCCTTTCCCATGTCGTCTGGGGAAGAAGATCCTCTGCCATAGGCAATGGCTTACAGGGTGGCCTGGGACATCCGCAGCCTTCGGCTGGGTCCAGCCGTGAAGCACTCTTCTTCCCAACTCTCCCTGCTGCTTCCGGCGTGCGACATTCATCTTTCCCTTCCTGAGTTAACGTTCAGTTCTGTCTTGGCCACTTTGGCACCTTCCCATCTCCTCGGTCTCAGTCTCCACAGCACTTGGTCGCCTCAGCCTTGCTCACACGAGTGAAGAACTTGAGCCACGCTCCTTTGAAGAAGGAGAGTCAGATGTGGGCAAAAAAAAAGAGCATGAAATGTCTGAAAAACTTCCATAACAAAAAGCCATCTCTGGCATCTGCAAGAATTCACACTCGAAAGATGGTTCCTGCTTAGTTCATCTTGGGCTTAGACTTTTTTATTACTATGATTTTATTCTTCAGGGTTGTGGGAATCTGCATCTTGACTTGGACCTGCCCTGTGTGCAGGATGTAAAGGGCTGATGTGCCTGGACTCCTGCCTCTGCATTTGTGCAGCGCTCCCATGCCGGGAACACAACCCAGGAATGAGGACTTCCGTGCGACGGTGCCCCAGCGACCACCGTGCCTCCCGCAGAAGCCAGGGCTGGGCCTTGAGGTCAGCGGTAAACCCCAGGACACAGGCAGCGACCCTGGACAAGCAGGGCAGGTCCAGGCGATGGGAGGCGCCGCATTTCTCCATCCTGAAGTTCTTCTTGGTTTTTCTCCTAAGTACTGATGTCAGGATGATCCGGCAGCTTTGAGGAGCCATCTGGCCCTTTAAGCAAGAAGCCAGTTGGCCTTTCTCATCCCACTGTCACACCTGGGCACTCCCATGGAGCCAGCTGCAGGGGATGGGGGGAGGCTGGTTCCAGGGGGACTGACCTGTCTCAGGGGAGGCTGCCTCTGGCTTCACCGCTCCTCCCTGAGCACAGCCTTTATGGGGCCTACAGGGCAGTGGGGGACAGGACGCTTGTCCTGCAGAATGGCAAAGAACCGGCTCTCCATTTCAGGGCAAAGCGGGGCCCAGATTGTGGGAACCGTGGCCTCGAACATGAAGGCAGGTGGGCAAGGGGACTAGGGGACCGCGTGAGGCCCCACGTGCACACAGCAGGGCCCAGCACCCATGGTTTCATTCCGTCGGCCTTGGCCAGCTGGCTCCTGCTTGGGAACTTGCTGGGCGGTGTCTGCCGGAAGTCGGTGGCATCATCCTCAGGGGC